AAAGTTATGCAAATTGAATGAGAAAGATACTAAACAAACAGGCTTGTAAACTGCTAGAAGGAAAGAGAGAATAAACAAGAATGGCATGGAGGCCATTGTGATTTGAATACACTATTGAAATTTTAAAATTTCCCTGCAATGTGTCTCTAATTCATTACACCACATCATTTCATTTGCTTCTGAAAAATACTCTTCCTCGCGATGTCCATGAAGGCTCGCTTGACTTGCTGATTCCTTAGGCTGTAAATAAAGGGGTTCAGCATTGGGGCTACTGAGGTGTTGAGCACAGCCACACCCTTGCTCAAAGACACTCTATCCTTTGCTGAGGGTTTAATATACATAAAGATGCAGCTGCCATAAGAGATGGAGATGACAATCATATGGGATGAACATGTGGAAAAGGCCTTTGTCCTCTGACTGGTAGAAGGAATCTGCACAATTGTGCTGATGATATATATGTAGGACAGGAATATCAGTGCCAAAGTGAACATTAGAGTGAACACAGCACAAGAAAACCCCATTATTTCTAGGAATTTGGTGTCTGAACAAGAAAGTTGTAGCAGAGGGAAATAATCACAGGTAAAATGGTCAATAATATTAGACCTGCAGTAATCAAGGTTTAAGAGCAACATGAGTGCAGGGAATATGATTAAGAATGAAATGAGCCAAGAAAAGAAGACAAGCAGTATGCAGACTCTCTGGTTCATGATGGTCGTGTAATGGAGAGGTTTGCAGATGGCAACGTAGCGGTCATAGGACATGGCGGCCAGCAGGTAAAATTCAGTGACTCCCAAGAGAATGAAAAAAAATAACTGAGCCATACAGTCATCAAAGGAAATGGTTTTATCTCCTGTAACAATGGTGCTCAGGAACCTGGGGATAGTGACAGTTGTGAATGACACCTCTAATAAGGAGAAGTTTCTGAGGAAGAAATACATGGGGGTCTGGAGGTGGGAGTCCAGCAGGGTCAGGGTGATAATGGTCAGGTTCCCAGTGATGCTGAACATGTAGGTGATGAGCAGAAAGATGAAGATGACAGCCTGAAGGTGTGGATCATCGGACAGTCCTAGGAGGATAAACTCTCTTATTACTGTGTAGTTCCTCATTCTTCAGTTGCTTATTTGTATCTCCCTGGGCCAGACCTACAGGAGAAGGCACAAGGGACAAACCTGAAGAGTAGATTGCCAAATAGCCAAGTGTGGAGCTAGCATCTGGCTGAATAGTATGTCATCTCACTTTCAGGGGACATTTAAAGCAAATAAATCACAATGATAATCACAATGATCCTTTAGTTTCCTCTCTTTTACAGGTGAAAACTCTTTGGCTAAGGCAGGTTTAAAAAGATAAATATCCCAGAGTTTTAAGTGGCAGAGACGGGATTTGTGCCTAGACTTTTCTGACTCCATAGACTACCTGTGAACTTTCAGAAAGGTGCCCATAACCCATGAGGTTTCCTGAGAACCACCTTTGTGCTATTCCAGTCCCTACGTATGTCTCCCATTCTCTGTAACTTGAAAGTTTGATTATATTGAGAATTTTCAAAAATGGGAATGATGCCATGGTTTTTTAATAAAAGGAACATTTTGTCCTTAGCTATCTATCAAATTTGCTAACACTCAGTTTTTCCAACTCCTTCTATTACCTTATTGGAAGTCAGAAAAGCTAAAGTCATTGAAACAGCTGCAGATGTTAGAGTAGAGGGGAGGAAGATAGAAAATACTGTAAGCTGGCAGTTCATTACATCTGAAACCCTGGTAACATTTTGTAATAGTTCAGCCTAACACTGTGTCATCATTATGGACTTCATTCCTATACAACCTATTTCCCCTTCTATTTAAAATATTATTTAAAATAATACTTAAATATGATTATTAAAGAGTTAGACAAACGCTCTTCAAGAAAGCTGAGGGTAATAGTTTGTGTATTCGTGTGTTTTTAAAATAGTGAGTTTTTAATTTTTCCTTTTCTTAAAATAAAATTTAAATGATATTACCATAGATATTTCTACAACGAAGAGTGAGGATATCTAGGTATGAATCCAAGCCACTTAGTAGGTCTGAAAGTCATTCAGTCCCTCAGTGCTTCGTCTATAAATACATGCTTTATTCCACTGCATGGAAACCTATCTCATAAAGTTATTGTGAGCGTTAAATGAGTGAATATATGTGAAGTACTTAGAAAAATGCTTAGCATTTAACAATACCCACATAAGGCTTTGTTCAATGGAGAAAACATTTCCTGACGACTGAGCTGAAAATATTTGGGATTTGGATGTTGTCCTATGTAGAAAGCTATGTCTAAGATAAGTAGTAATGAATAAATTAAGCGCCAAGAGAATCATATCAGAACAATCACAATAAAAACACAAATGAAGTAGAATCACATGATTGTACACTACCTGTCAGGCATTCGGGGATAGTGACTCTTAGCCTAGTTCTTCCCACTGTGTGTACGTGGTGACCTCTCCCACCATGGTATATCTGCCTTCTCCGCCTCATCACCGCTCCCTCGCTTTCCACGAACAAGTCACTTCCCTCATCGTCATCTGGGATTTGAGCGCCACATTTGAGGCATATTAGATATTTGCAGCACATCAGCGTTGCTACCAGTGGCCACTTCGTTTCTCCGCTCCTCATTAGTAATCGTAACCTTTCTCAGAAAGATTGTGAGGTTTGCATTAAACATACGCATGTGACTAGCATTGTGGGTAGCAGATTTCAATGATTTTCAAATCGGCTGCTTCCTTATTCCCTGAACGCCAGGTTTGATACCCATTGTAATGAGGACTATAGAACTCTTAATTCTCAATTCATCCTTTGAAACCCACCTCACAGACTACAAAATCTCCTGTGACACCTCTCTATAGTATAGTATAGTGATAGTAGGTTTGAAATAAACACTTGTCTAATTAATTGATGAATGTTGAGTTTGTTGCAGGTCTCCACTTTATGCCAAATTCTAGGCTGTATATCACATCAGCTCTATCTTTGTTTTACAAGATGTATTTTGCTACTTTACCTACTTTTTTCAAGATGTTGCTTGGTTTAAATTCTCTGTATTGAGTAAATTTATAACAAAAAACATGTAAAGGAAGCTAATTTTTTTGATATATAACTTAAAAGAAAACTGTAAAATGTTATTTCAAAATTAATGTCCTTAATTTTTTACAATTCATCCTTTTAATTAAATTTACTCCCTCTCAGTAACTTCACTTTTCCTTCATAAGGGTTTGTTTTTCATGGAAAGCACTACTTTTTCATGACATCTTAAATCAGAAAACGCATTCTCATCATATAGACAAGATTTGGTTTCACTCTCTAGACTGAAATTTCTGCAGTAACTTATTGGCATTGGATATCCAGGTTTTAAAAATTATATTGTTACTATTACATGGTGAGCAATGTATCAGTACACTGTATTTTAAAACATATTTCTACTTTCTTTACATTTTGTTTTTCCTCTTAAGTTTCCTGTTAATTTTAATACTCTTCTGAATAATAATATGATTTACACTTTTTGCTACTGATTAAACTTGTGACAGAATGTATGAAGAGCTATGAACAAAGGTATTAATAGATATTGGAAGAGTTCATGTGAGCATCACTGAAAATGAACACTTACATAGCCAGTCTTCCAGGACCAGAGAAAATAAGCTTAAAGAAACTGTAGCAAGACGTGATCCAATATCACAGGGTTAGGAGTGTATACTATACTTTTTGTGTGAAAATGTTTATGAAAATTCAGTGGATTGCATTTATTTACCAACATCAAATAAGCCTGATAAAAATTATCAGCATTCATTCATTCATCAGCCTTTTGAGAGAAATAAACCCCATGTTTAACAAGGTCTATATGCTTCCTAGAGCCTTCAGCCATCCCAAGGATGTATTCACACAGGGCGTGAAGGATATCTCCAGCATTTAACTCATCTTTTCAGCTTTTATTTCTGAATGCAGGTCCATGTTTCCCCCTGGAAGAACATGAATTAGAGTACTTATTGTGCTTTATACTTTCTTCCACCCATTTCATCAAACTCAGTTCTTACTTGCTCCCTAAGAATCCCTGAGACAGGCTCTTTGAGCTATTCAAAATGAAAATTAACAGCGATACTTCATGTTTGTTACATGAGATGACTGAAGCATCTTTAAGGTGTCATTCTGCAAACACTCCTATCTCCTGCCCTTTCTAAATCCCTGCCATCAAGTTAGTGACCCTTTAAATAAACTAGATATTCATGATTTCTCTGATGCCCAAGAAGAGAAGGAGACTCTGAATTAAAGGGTACATTATGTTTCAAGGACCAAAAGATGTTCCTTTGAGAGACTGAGATGAAAGCCTCAGACTAGTTCCATTGTATTTCTTGTGTGTTTTGTTGTTATTTTGTTTGTTTGTTTTTAATAATGTTTTTTTTGTACTGGGTGGAAATATCTCTTAGTAATGCAATGACTTTGAGAGTCCAGTTGTTTCAACTTTTTCTGTGTCTACCAATTCTCTCTTCTTCAGTTAAACCTCATTATAGATCATTAGAAAAATTTCACAAATCATACCACCAAAACAATGTGTTTTATTCATTTTATCATTGTTTCTACTACTTTGTGTGTTTAAAGAGTGTTTTAGGGTTTAGTTTAGTACATTATGAAAAGAAAAATAGTTTAATTCAATGTTGTGGGTAACATCTAATTCAGCTTCATAATTACTTTAAATTTACTTTGGG